GTCCTTCCTCCCCCTTCGCGACCTCCCTCCCTCCTATCTCTCGGTTCTCCCCCCTCCGTCCCGCCCTCCGTCCCTCCCTGCTCTGTGCATGATCTAGAGAGTGCATTTTGTTGCTCTTTTTTTCCCAAGTTACGTAAACACCAGATTTCGTTTGGCGATCTGAAAAAAGGCGACTGCACGCACACGTTCACGCTCACGCTCGAGTGCACGCGCGCGCAAAAGAAAGAAGAGAGAGAGAGAGAGAGAGAGAGAGAGAGAGAGAGAGAGAGAGAGAGAGAGAGAGAGAGAGAGAGAAGACTGACGTGCTGTGGTGGGCGTAGGGAACAGGGAGGAAGAGCGTGAACTGTGGAAAAAATGTCGATGGCTGGAAATACCTGTTGCAGGTCAATTTGATGATTAATCTTAATGCCGCCCCTCGACAGCGAAAGGAGAATGTTGAGCAAAAAGAACTTGAGGAGGAGGGAGGCGAACTTTGGGTGGTGGACGAGACGGACAAAGGAGAAGGTGCGGGGAAGGAAGAGCGTGAAGGGGATAAAAAAGCTTCAGGAGGATGTGGAGGAGGAAGAGTGTTAGGTGACATGTGTGTCCGTCTCTCTCTCCCTCTCTCCCTTTCTTACACCCATGCACCCTTATTGAGATCTTGATATGAAATGCAGCGTTTTTGTAGACCACAGAAAGAAAAATGACGAAATGCACGTCTTATGTCTGGCGTTAAGAAAGAAAGGAAGCAGGACCGAGGGAAGCAGGAGGTCGGGTCTACTGAGGGATGGAGGGAGTAGGCTAGGTCGGTGTCGTTGAGCATGCAATGGGAGGGAGGTGCTGTGGGGGGCGAGGAGATCAGGCGGACTGTGAGATTGGCGTAAGGGAGGGAGGTGCTGTGGGGGGCGAGGAGATCAGGCGGACTGTGAGATTGGCGTAAGGTTGGGTGGAGTAAGGAGGGAGGGAAGAGGTCAGGCGGGGGGAGAGAGAGAGAGAGAGAGAGAGAGAGAGAGAGAGAGAGAGAGAGAGAGAGAGAGAGAGAGAGAGGCGGAGCAAGGGAATGAGTTAGAACGAAGATTATGAGGAAGAGGAGGAGAACCTCGATTGGAAGAGCATGAGGAGGAAGAAGAGCGCGAAGAGGAAGAAGAGTGTGGGGAATGAAGCAGAAGAGCACGAAGAGGAGGAAGAGGAGGAAGAGTGTGGAGAATGAAGCCACGGAGGCGGGGGGGGGATGAACACCAGCCCAATTAATTGAGAGCCGGGTGCGTGACGAGGAGGGAGAGCAAAATAAGAGTATCGAACGAATTCAAACGGAGGGAAAAGCAAGGTGTGTGCTCGGGCACATGAGAGAGAGAGAGAGAGAGAGAGAGAGAGAGAGAGAGAGAGAGAGAGAGAGAGGGAGAAGAGAATGAGGAAGACGGAGCATCGGTGGAGTGGGGAAGGAGAGACGGTGCAGCTTGGCAGGAGGGTGGGGACAGTGGGGGAGGGGGATCGGTTCAAACACAGAGAGAGAGAGAGTAGGAGGAAGAGCGTGAAGAACATGGAGGGGGGTGGGTGCAGTGGGGAAGGAGGGTTTGGTCAGTTTACGAGCAGGGTGGGCACACTGGAGGAGGGTCGGTCCACTGAGAGAGGAAGGTGGGAAGGGGTGAAGGGTTGCCACAGTTGAGGAGTAGGGATGGGTGCAGAGGTGGGGGTCGGTGCAGTGGGGGAGGAAGGTTGGGTCAGTTTAGGAGCAGGGTGGGCACAGTGGAAGCGGAAGATACGTCCAGTGAGAGAAGAGTGTGGAAGGCGTGGAGGGTTGCCACAGTTGAAGAGTATGATGGGTGCAGAGGGGGAGGGGGTATAGATGTGGGGGCACGGAGGCCGGGTAGTAATTTGACCTGGAGCTTGGAAGGGAGGTCGAGAGGAGGGTGGTGGAGGGAGGGGGGGGGAGAGACGCCGGAGGAACGGAGGGCATCAGGTGGATGAAGGACGGGAGGCTGTAGAGTTTGCCACACTGTCGAGGAAGTGATTCTGACACATGCTGCCGGTTTCTTCATTGGCTTTTGCCTTGCAGGACATTGGCTCCAATAGCACGCCCAGCATTACGGCTCTTACATAAGAACACTATTTTTTTCAGATGACTTCCCCCGGCGAATGGCAACTGCCAAGCAGATTGGATGCCTGATTACTTCATTTAATACATTATTACAAGAAGTCCTGCTGCATAAGGTGTGAAGAAGTCGAGGTTCAGCAGAGTGAAGTAGTTGTGCCGCTAGAGAAAAAGTTGGGGGCGAAAGAAGGCAGGCAGTCTCCTGTTGGCTTTATTTAATTGCTTGATGGACCTGTTGATGATGAACCAATCGACATTTTCTTCCTGATTGTTCATTTAATCGATCGATGGGTCTGTCGCTTGTTGGCACAAATGAGCAAGCGTACAAACAAGAAGTCGTCGGCGTCGTTGTCGCCGGCATAAGTATCGTTATCATCATCAGCCGTCTGATGTGGATGTTGGGTCCCGATCGATCAATCGATCAGTACTATATGGAGGAGGGAAATGTGTTGGCAGGTAGCGGTATAGACAAATAGGTAGGGTTACAGAGAGATAAACAGATAGATAGATAGATAGATAGATAGATAGATAGATAGATAGATAGATGGATGGATGGAGAAGTTGAGAGCCATAACGCAGATAAGAAGGGAATGAGACCCTGAAGCGTAGTGTGGACGTGCTATATCGAGAGTGATAAACTGCGGGCAACGTTGCTGAAACGCGAACACGGAGTAAGATATAGGAAGGAAGCGGCAAAGGACGTGCATCTGTGTTTGTATGTACGGTGGGGTGAGGTGGGCGGGTTATGTTATTAAATAAATAGCAAGAGAAGACGAGGGAGTTTTGGGTGATGGGAATGACCACGAGAGATGCGGAAGCTGGTGCAGAGTCAGCAAGAATTGAGTCGGGAATGGATGATAGGCGACCTGGCATTGGAGTGAGTGCGGGAGGAGAAGCGCTATCGCCCCGGTTGTTATCCCTGTCTTCAGCTGTTGCAATGCCTCCTCCTCCTCCTCACCGTCCTCCTTCTGTCTCTGTTTCGTCAGTTTCTTCGTCTCGTTCCTCTTCCATCGACCCTCGCAATGCCCGTTTTCCTTACTGCATCGTCTGGACCCCTTTACCGATCATTGCGTGGTTTATCCCTTTCATTGGTCATTTAGGGATTTGCGAATCGAACGGTGTCATTTTAGATTTCGCCGGGCCTTACTTCGTCAGCAAAGATAGGTTCGCCTTCGGTAGGACGGCGCGCTATGTCCGACTCGACCCCGATCTTGTCTCCGTGAGAACGGGTGGGTTGCCCTGGAACGAGGCCATCCAGGACGGCGTGCTGGAGTTTCAGGATCGCATGTACAATCTCTTTACTTGCAATTGTCATTCATTTGTCGCCACGTGTCTCAACCGAATGGCATATCGAGGCTCTGTGCGATGGAACATCGTGGATTTGGTGTTTCTTGTCGTGTTTAAGGGTCGGTGGGTTAATGCTGGAGCGGTTTTGAAGACCTTGCTGCCGTGGTTTGTCCTCATGGCGATCGGCTTGTATTTCGGCCGTTGGATGTTTCTGGTGGCCTGGGTGGGATTCTCTGCTGCATTACTAGGTTGGTTCCTTTGCGGAACTTACCTCTGCAGAGGACTTATTGTCCCTTCTCCCTAATTTGTTGTTCCCTCGCGGTCGACCGGAGCAGCAGTGTATGTCCACAGTGGAAGGAAGGTTGGCAACATGTCTCACCCTCCCTTTGCCTCTTCTTCCCTCCTGTCTTCTAGACGTGTCCGTGAGTGGGTGGGTGGTATATAGGAGGTTCTTTTTCTGTACAGGTTCTCGTTCAATCGAAATAATGAAGGATGAGATGCTCGAGATATGCATGGTAAACGACTTTTCTGCGCAACAGACGTGCTCAATGTACATAATTATAAGTAAACGACTTGTGTCGTCGGCTTTTTTCCCACGTGGACTTGGTTTCTTCTTGTTGGTTTTCTTTGCTCTCTTTTCCTTCTTGTTCTTGTTCTTGTGAATTGAGGTCGTACACTGTATGGTGGCTACGTCTACACACCCTGGTTGGGTGCGCGTGTGTGACTGGGTACACCGGGTCGCGGGGAAAAACGAGTACCCGTGCTGGGGTGGGGTTAAGTACTCATCTTGGGGCTTAACTTTCACCGCAGTCCACTTAGCCATTTGGTTGAGTGTTTGCCTCTTGACGTGGAGGTCACGTGTTCGATCCTTGGATCGGTGCGGATAAGTTTCACTTCACTTCTTGTTCCTCTTGTTCTCTTCTTCCCTCTGCTCTCTTTTTTCTACTTTCTGTTCTTGTCTTCGGTTTTCTTGACGTTTTCTGTTTCCTCGTGTTACTTTCTCCATTCCTGAAGCCCCTTGTCCTCAGCCACATTTTATATGTGGTCAGGATTCGAACTCACGATCTGTTCATCAACAGTCACATGCGTGTAGTGCCATTCATTCATAGTTGTCCGAGGTTCTCCCTTCCTTGTTCTCTCCTCTCTTGTGCTTCAGCCACGCCCTTGCCGTCCTCCTGTTGCTCTTCCTTTCCTTCGTTTTCTTTGGTCCTCCCTAGCGCGCCCTTCGTTCAGTATTTCCCTTCCATTTCTCCTACTTCTACCCACCCTTCGTTCAGTTTTTTTTTTTTTTTTAATAAAGGGCGACGGCCTTGAGATATTATCATTGAGCTGACCGGTCCCAAGCAATTCATTAGTAGTTGGTTTTACTCGTCAAGTTCCATCATCTGGATTCGAACACAGCACCTGGTCTGTATTTCAACAGTTCATGGGTGTACCCACTGAGCTAGGCTCTTGGGTTTCGTTCAGTATTTTCCTTCCATTTCTCCTACTTCTACCCACCCTTTTCAGCCTGCCTGTCTTTTTCACTGGGTCAACCTCGTTGATGATTGCCATGCATCGGCTTTCTCCTCCCATTGCCCCCTGCGCCAACCTCGTTGTCCTCTTTGGTTCTTTGTCTCGTACTCATCATGGTTGTCTTTTCGTCCCTCTTTTTTTCGTCTGGTTCTTTCCTTGCCCGTGTCGTTCTTCTCCTCTCGTCTCTTGTTGTTTAGTTCCTTTTCCTCTTCTCTTCTCTCCTCGTCTTTCCGCTGCAGAGGCGGACAGTCTCGCAACAAATCCACTCTACGGGTTTGATCTGTAGACTTCGCCTGTTCTACGGCTCCCCTTCTCTTCCTCCTTTCTCTCCTCCCTCCCCGTCTTGGTGAAGAGTTTCTTGAAGCCACGCTGCTTTCTCCCTCGCCCACAGTGTTTTTGAAGAAATCAAGTAATGGCCGGACGCTCGAGAGGAGGAGGTACAACTTACCTGCAAAACGCTGAGGGATATCAATGGAGCGTTTTCTAGAGGGATATCATCGCATGTTTTCCTCCTCTTTGTCCGCCCATCACAGGGTCACCGGTTTGAAATGTATAGCGAGAAGTGTGCAGCGTGCATGACCAGCTCCGACAGGAGCAGAGATATCCCCTGGCTCTGAACAGGAGCGCGCATGCCGATCGGAAAAGCGTGTGCCCATTGAGTCAAATGAGCGGGTATACACAGCTATATATGTGAATGTTTGCATATATGCAAAGATGCCTTTCTTTCTTGTCTGTTAAGTTGTTAAGCTGTTAAGCTGTTAAGCTGTCCAGCTGCCTCTCTTTGGGGGCCATTCCCGCACCTATACCATAACAAATTCAGCCAGATCCAGTCTATAAAAGGTTGTATTCTGAGTGAGTGAGCATTCTCTCACAACGCCAACACACTGGGGAAAACAGTGATCGTGTAAGTCACGAAGTTTTGATGGTCGAGGAGAACAAGTGAGGATATGCTGGCTACATGCAGGCGGCTAGCCAGGATACGACGGAGGTGGTGACGTGGCACGAGGTTGTTTCTCACAATATGAATGGTGAGCAGGAAAGGGGTTGTAAGAGTCGCCAAGGCACAGGTGAAGAAGTTCTTTCCTTGGGCATTTGTTTTCCCTTATGTTTTTGAAATTAGCAACACCCTTCTGCAGGTGGAAGGGACGCCCACTGCATTCCTCCTCGCTCCTTTATGCAAGCATATTGTGCTCGCAATCTGCGGCACGTGCGAGAGACCTGGCGAAGCTGGCTGCTTCGTCCTTTAAGGCATGGAAGGCAACGAGGACCTATGTCGCCATAGCCAGATGAAGTGAACTCGTGTCTGAGTTGCGTTCTTGGTTGTCATATCTCTGAGTTTTGAGTGGGCGCATGTCGCCAGTTTGCTGCGCTACCGTTTGCATGCATGTAAAGTGTGAATGAAAGCGAGTCTGATTGCATTTACCTTGATGCTTTTCATCTTTCTACTACAAGGAGGACCGTCGCCAGCTTGTTTCGGGTGTTTTTCTTTCTGGCTACCTAGAATTTGGGGGTTCTGTCTCTCTTTTTGCGAATGGCGGCAAGCTAAGCATCATGAGAAAGGGGTATATGCCGGCATTTCCTTCCCCTCTCCCCGTGGCTTCTTGGCAATTAGCGAAATGTATGTCCGTTTTTTTCTGCCCCGTATGCTGACGTATTAAATGCCCCTTCATCCACCTCCGTTCGCCACTTTCTCTCTCCTTCCCTCGCTCATTTACTCTCGCTCGCTGATTCTCTCTCTCACTCTCGCATTTACTCCCACTCAATCTTCGTTCCTCCCTTTTCTCAGTCTGTCGTTCACTGACTCACTCATTGATTCTGTCTTATTCTTTTCACTCTCTTAGAGCCAATCACTCTCGCTCTCTCTCAAACTCTTTCCGTCAGTCACTCGCTCACTAACTCTCACTTACACACTTGCTTACGCTGCCTGGTTGCTCCGCACCTACTTGGTCGCTTGCTCGACCACCTGCCTGCTCACTCCTCGATCACTCGCTCACGCACCCAATGAATTATTACCCAATCAATTATTTGCACGGCTGTACCTATCGACCATCCCATTCGTCCATCGATCTATCTCAACGTATGTATCGATATCTATCTATTTGCATTTATCTTGATCTAGCTGTCTGTGCATCTGTATCATTCTGTATCCATCTATCTTGAGCTTTCCATCTACCCTGGTGTAATTGATACCAATGAACCCTCCTACTCGCCTACCCACCTACACCGCCTACCCACCTACCCACCTACCCACCTACCCACCTAGCCCCTACCCATTCCTCCAACCCTGTCTACCTACCTTCTCCCCCTACCATATGTAAATCACGCCCGACAATCCACTTTGAGCGCATTTGTGGAGAAATTGGGAGTAACAGCATCGCGAACAAGCTGGAAGAATCAAAGAAGAGGAAAATATGCATGAAGCTTCTGCGGTCTTTTTGTGGAAGTTGATTGCTAGCATACAGCTGGAGTCACTATTTGTGGGAGTGGTACCTGCTCTTCTTTCAAGGAAAATTATGGCCGAAAGCATCACTAGGGGAGTTGGTGTTGCTGCAGAATGTCCGAAGCTCGATTTTGAGAATGAGCTTGGAGAGTTCCATAAACAGTCGATCACATGTCCCTAACCCTCCCTCCCCCTCTGCATCTTCCCCTCTCGCCCATCGTTTTCTTTGTCCCACCTCCCTAACCCTCCCTCCCCCTCTGCATCCTCCCCTCGCGCTCATCCGTTTTCTTTGTCCCACCTCACTGGATTGTCTTCGTGATGCTTTTTCACCTATCCATCTATCTACCGACCTAGCTATTGATCTATCTATCTATCGATCAATCTCTTATATCTAATCTTAATCTTATTTACTCTATTCGAATCTAATCCAGTCTAATTCTTATTTAATACAATCTAGTCTAATGTTAATAATACTTAATATTATCATCTAAATCTAAATCTTAATCATCATCTCATCTCATCTCATTTCGATCTCATTTCCTCTCTTCTTGATCTCTTGCTCTATGGTAAATCGATTAGAGACCTCTCTTTATAGACCTCTCCCTAAGAGATATGTCTAAGCTATAGCTAATCTGTATCTCTAACAGATGTATAGTTACATAGATCAATTATCAATCTATCCATCTAATCTTCGAAGATGGTGCATTTTGATGCTCAAGCCTCTGGGGAGGAGTGCGAAACCGAAAGTATCGATCTTTCAAACGAGCCCCTCCATGACACATCCCGACCTGGGTCTTCATCAACACAGTCCACACGTCAACCAACACACGTGTCTTCTGTTGTTACACAACGGAAGAAGACAGCTCCGTCAGGAATGTTGAAGAGACTGCCGACAAACACATGGATCGGTAGGAGATCCAAATCCAGGTCACAATTCTGGCCAGCCATCCGTCCAAGTTGTCCCAGGAGCTTTTCTTTTATGGGACCTCCCATCCTTCCATCACTGAAGCTACGTGGTCCTATCACATCATTGGGCATTCGGACTGTTTCCGGCCAGCAGTCTAGAAGGGAGAGTGAGCGATGGCCTTAAAATGTAACAAGTGGACCTGCGTCGGCCATGCCCCGGAGCAGAGGGGGAGGAAACGACGGAGGGAGTGTGTTTCGGTTTGTCTGTTCGCATCAGCCTCCTGATGAGTCGGTGAAACTCCGACAAATCAATCTCTGTCACAGGCCCCCGTTTGTTGTCCTCTTCTCCATCTCTGCCTATGGTTTGCCGGGCAGTAGGTGGGAATGTGTTTCAGTTCGTATCTATTGACATATTCGCATAAGCCTCCTGATGAGCCGATGAAACTTTGACAGAACACTTTCATAGCCCCTTGGTTGTTGCCCTCTTCTCCCTCTCTGCCTACGGTTTACCAGGCAGCTCTGTTTGACGGTATATATATATTCAATTATTGCGACCGGGGTTATGGCGGATTATCAGTGTCGTGAGTTAGGGAACTCTGCAGGTTGTAGTTCAGCCTTCTGAGATGGGATCAGTGTCGTCAGTTAGGGGACTCTGCAGGTTGTACTTCAGCCTTCTGATGAGACGGGGGTTAAAGGCGGATTATAACTTTTAAGTATCTTCG